AGGATGAGAACAGAAATTGCATGGTGGTGGCGGCAGGAGGCCCCATTAGCTAAAGTGGTACCTCAGGTTAAGAACAGTTTCAGGTTAAGAACGGACCTCCGGAATGAATTAAGTTGTTAACCCGAGGTACCACTGTACCAACAAGTAACTGGAAGTGGTGACTGAAGACAAGTGCAAGCTAAGGAGGCCTCCAGCAGAGTCTCTGGTGTCAGCCCCACTGAAAAGGGATGCTCTGTTGCTAAGGCACAAGGTTGCAGGTTCCATGGATCTTGCAGCAGCTCCTGCTTTCTGTCCAAATGAGTCATTTTGGGGCCGCAGGCAAGTTCATGAAGCCTGCTGTCGTGAATCTCCCTTAGGCATAGCATCACGAAGCTTGCTTGAAAGGAAGAGAAGTGTAAAAGTGATGCAGAGAGGAGCACTTGCACCAACTAAATGTGACACAGCACAGTTGGATCAGCTAAAATTGCAGCATGAGATCAGGTAGCACTTAGCTGGCCTTGGGTTTGCTTAGCAATACCAGTCTGCAGAAACGAGTTGGCATCGTCGCTGCTGCCTGTCTCTTTCCCTCTGGTGGGAAGGTGGGGGTTATGAATCCTGCTTTGAATCCAGAGGCCTGCAGAGCATTGGAGAGAAGCTGTTTTATATTTAGCAGCTCATAACAAGAGTTCCTGTGGTACTTCTCTCCCTGCCATATTTGCATGGCTCCCCACTTCCCCCCTGTTCCCAGAATGCCTTGTGTTTCCAGGGAAATTTCCCCTCCCACTGTTTAAAGACAAAGACTTCAGTAGCTTTGGCTCCTAGGGATGTTTCTTCACGCTGGAGGAAAGCCCATCTTCCAACATCTCAGTGCAAATCTTTCCTCTGGTATGACATGATGCAAGTCGCGGCAAGTTAGGACTCCATTTGGCCTCTGCTCCAAGCTCTTTGGGTCTTCAAGCCCTTGACAATTCCTTGCCTGTTTCAGGAAAATTGTTGTTGTTGTTTAGTCGTTTAGTCATGTCCAACTCTTTGTGACCCCATGGACCAGAGCACGCCAGGCACTTCTGTCTTCCACTGCCTCCCGCAGTTCAAACTCATGCTGGTAGCTTCGAGAACACTGTCCCACCATCTCGTCCTCTGTCGTCCCCTTCTCCTTGTGCCCTCCATCTTTCCCAACATCAGGGTCTTTTCCAGGGAGTCTTCTCTTCTCATGAGGTGGCCAAAGTCTTGGAATCTCAGCTTCAGGATCTGTCCTTCCAGCGAGCACTCAGGGCTGATTTCCTTCAGAATGGAGAGGTTTGATCTTCTTGCAGTCCATGGGACTCTCAAGAGTCTCCTCCAGCACCAGAATTCAAAAGCATCCATTCTTCAGCAATCAGCCTTCTTTATGGTCCAGCTCTCACTTCCATATATCACTACTGGGAAAACCATAGCTTGAACTATACGGACCTTTTTGGCAAGGTGATGTCTCTGCTTTTTAAGATGCTGTCTAGGTTTGCCATTGCTTTTCTCCCAAGAAGCAGGCGTCTTTTAATTTCGTGGCTGCTATCACCATCTGCAGTGATCATGGAGCCCAAGAAAGTAAAATCTCTCACTGCCTCCATTTCTTCCCCTTCTGTTTGCCAGGAGGTGATGGGCCCAGTGGCCATGATCTTTGTTTTTTTGATGTTGAGCTTCAGACCATATTTTGCGCTCTCCTCTTTCACCCTCATTAAAAGGTTCTTTGATTCCTCCTCACTTTCTGCCATCTAGGTTGTGTCACCTGCATATCTGAGGTTGTTGATATTTCTTCTGGCAATCTTAATTCCGGCTAGGGATTCATCCAGCCCAGCCTTTCACATGATGAATTCTGCATATAAGTTAAATAAGCAGGGAGACAATATACAGCCTTGCCGTACTCCTTTCCCAATTTTGAACCAATCAGTTGTTCCATATCCAGGAAAATACTGCTCTGGAAGGGATGTAGCTCAGTGGTAGAGTATCTGTTTGCATACAGAAGTCCCAGGTTCTAAGCTTGATGTCTCCAGGTAAGGCTGGGAGAGCCTTCCCCTCTGAAGCCCTGGAGAGCTGCTGCCTGTCCGTGTGGACAATACTTAGCTAGATGAACCATTGGTCTGACTCGACATTCCTTCTTTCCACCTTGCTAGCTTCACAGGAGTTTCTCACCCACTATGGATTAGATTTTTAACAGCATGCACAACACGTGGATTATTCTCTCACACGCTGCCTTTGCTGCGCAACCTGATCTTCCCGTTGCAGCGCATGGGGCAGCCTTAAATCTTTGGGCTGTGCCCTCCTTGCCATAGTCAACCGCGTCACTCTCCTCCCTAGCTGTGCAATGGGTAGGAGGCCTTGGAAGGAAGCCACTCTGCCCTTTGCCAAATTTGGGGCCTGCGCATGGCAAATGCAAGAAGGGCTTTGAGGCGCTTAAAGGATTTTAAAAATAAATCAGCTGTATAATCATGGATATGTTAAACAAATAGACACATTGCAAAACACCGAATGAAAGCGCCTTTCTGGGAGGGTAAGGAATGCTTACGCACCGGTGTTAAGAACTTGCAATTCGGTAAACAGGGTACCACTCTGCGTGAGAAGAACATGATGGCAACAACAGCTTTCATGTAGCATCATCACTGAGGGAGCTAAAATTTTGAGGGAAGGGGGCAGAGATAAATTAGTAAGACCCACCAGTATTGTGGACAATCCAAATTGAAAAATGCTAAGTGCTTGATCTAAGAGAATGCTTATCTGCATCAGTTCCTGTGGTTCTTAACTGTAGCATGGTAACCATAAATGATCCTTGGGGTGCCGACTGGAAGAGAGAGTCACCACTTTCTCTAAAAATAATAAAGTTTGGTGTACAAGGGGTGGAAATCTTGTAAGAGAATAAGCACAAGTGCTTTATTATTCTGTGAAAATGTATTCCCCAATTTAAATCATGCTAAATGTGCTTTATTTTCCCTTCCTGATCAAATATTTCCGTTCAGATACATTTGTCCTTTGGAAGAAGTGTGCGGTCGTTAAGAGACTTCTACTTTGAGTATGGAAGGATAAATAAATATCTATTGTGCAGCGCTCTGCAGACCACAATTCTCTTGCTATATTTGAACATGCTTTGCATGGACACCAACATTGGTTGGATACCTGTTCAGGCATTTGAATGGCATCTCTCTCTCTGTGGGAAAATTAAGATGGGTGTTTATCATTTTGAGAATGTGAGCTGATTCTCCCATTTTGTTAATTTCCTTTCTTCTTTAACAAAGCTGCAAGTCAGTTTTAAAAAAGAAGGGCGAGATGCAGATGAAATAAGCAGTCTGCATTATTTTCTGAGAATAGCTATCTAAAAAAGTTTTGCTGCTTTCGAGGCACATGTTAGCACCCAGCGATGTGACCCTGAAACACAGGATGTTGGTGTTGGCTCTCTCTGCAAAGCGCTGCACTGGTAGCAACCTCCTGTGTTGCTCCAATGGGGATCCAGTGGAAACAAAGCAGCTCATTCTGGTATAAAGGGATGGCTGACGGCCTCTGACTTCCTGCTTCTCATGAAGACAAGCAGCTGCAGCCCTCCCAGAAGTTTCAGAAACAAACAAACCCAATGCAAACGGTTGCCAATGGTGGAGCGTTTTACATACCAGCTTTTCACTGCGAGGTCTCAAACACAATCCTCTTTGTTCGCTTCTCTTGGACTTATTTACATGAGTAAGCCTCGTGGCTCATTCTGTCATTGGCCGTAGCTATCACTGAAGTGCACAGGGAGAGTGTCTGTGGCCAGAGGTTACCTGCTACGTGCATTGAGGTGCTTGCGATGACATGGCCTTTGGCACGAAACCCACTTGTCTGGTGACGGGGAGGAGAGAAACAGGGAAACGAGGGTTAAGTTGCAAATGATGCATCGGCTTGGGGCGATGGAGGACAGCTGAGTTCTGTGTGACAGCACAATATTAAGACCAGCTAGTATTGCAAATTGTTCACCAAGGTAGGACTGAAGGGCTGCAGGGACAGGTCAGTAGGCCGGTGGGGGAAAGGTGTTTATCTGTGTCGAGATTTGTACACACAGAAGCACATGACAATGAACGTGTCTGTGTTCATGGCAGTGATTATATAAATGATTGTTTTAACATGCTTGCTAGTCTAGGCTTCATCAACAGAAGTATAGCGTCAGGATCAAGGGAAGCTTGGTACTGCTCGATTCTGTCTTGATCAGATCCCACCTGGAGTCCTCAGTCCAGTTCTGGGCACCCCAGTTTAAGAAGCAAATTGACAAGCTGGAACATATGCAGACGAGGTGACCAGGATCATCAAGGGCTGGCAACCAAGCCTTGTGGGGAATGGCTGAGGGAGTTGGAGATGTTTAGCCTGGAAAAGAGGAGACTGGGAGGAGATATTAGAGCCATTTTCAGATATCTGAAGGGCTGTCACGATGGAACAAGCTTGTTCTCTCCTGTTCCTAAGGCTAGGGCTGAACCAATGGATTCAAATGACAAGAAAGGAGATTTCAACTAAACATTAGGAAGAAGTTGCTGATATTATGCACTGTTTGAAAGGGGAGCGAACTACCTCAAAAGGTGGTGGACTCTCCTTTCTTGGAAAATTTTAAGCAGAGCTTCGATGGCTATCTGAGATTTTTCAGCTGTGATTCCTACGATGACCTTTGTGGTCCCTTCCAAGTCTACAATTGTGTGATTCTATACCGATGAGGAATGAGCAGGTAGGCAGGGGAAGGAAATCACTACTGTAATACTTCTGGGAACTTGTAAAAGAAACTTCAGAATGCTAAGGCACTACTTGGCTTGACTTGGAAAAGGTTCGCTCATAGGTCGTTGTACAGCGGAGGATTGAATGGAGACATGGATTTGCTTGAGAGAAGGAGGATGACCACTGCTTGCTTCTCTCCATTGTGAAAATTGTCCTTATTTTAGTGGGCTGTGACTTGCAGCTCCAACTGAAGTTCTTCTCTAACACAACCAAGGACTCTGTTTGACTTGCCGGTTATCAACAATGCTTTCCTTTTCTCTTCCCAGTGTCCCCAGGAAAGATCATGGATGAAAAGATGTCCTACAAGGAGTTTCTGGACCGCAATGACTCATGGACAATGGACGACAGGGCCCATTGCTTTGATCCACAGCCAGCATTTAAGCCCATGGATGTGACAGGTAAGAAGTAGCTGCAGCTGCAGCTTCACTGAGAATGGAAACACGGAAGCCTGCATTTTTATCGAAATCCCCTTGAAATTTCAAACCTGAACGCCATTCCAGGAACAATGCCTGCTTCCAGAAGTCTGTGTTAGATTAGTGTCCCCCGCCCCCTTAGGACTTGCTTGCCTGAAGGAGTTACCTTCCCCATCCATCTCACCAACCCTCTTCATCAGAGTCTGTCCGGGTCCTCTTCTTCATTGCCTAAACGAGGGGTAGCCAATGTGGTGACCTTCAGATGTCATTAGACTACAGCTCCCATCATCCCTCTTCTGTGGCCATGCTGCCTGGGGCTGATGGGAAGTGGATTCCAATGACATTTAGAGGCACTGCATGGACTATCCTTGGCCTAAAGCATCTTTCTTCTGGTGGGTTTGTCAGTGGTGGCTTCTATGTGCTCAGAACATTCCACAGGTTGACTATCTGCTGTAGGAGAGAAACAAAAAAACCATGATTCCACAGAGGCGCACGCACAGACAGCCAATATTTTTCCCCACTACCACAGCACACTTGGTCCTGAGTGCCTTAACTGAGATTCCTACATTGCAGGGGGTTGGACTAGGTAACTGTTGAGGGTCCCCTTCCAATCTACAATTCTATGATTCTATGACTTTTTTCAGTGCACACTTCCACCATGACTCAAAGATCTGTTTCTTTGGGTGTAGTCACAACCAGCTTAGACCCCGTGAACATACATGTGGAGCTAGGTACGTGAGACGAGCCTGCCAGAACAGATCAATGGCCCATATAGTCCAGCATCCTGTTCTCACAGTGGCCAAACAGCTGCATATGGGAAGGCTGTAAGCGGGAGCCAGACATCAGAGCACTCTCTCCTCCTGTGGTTTCCAAAAACTGATATTCAGAGGAGTGGTGGCTCTCACAGCCGAGGTCGAACACAGCCGCCATCATTGGTAGCTGTTGATCCTCCATGAATTTGCCTAATCCAGCCTTTCTCAACCTGTGGGTCCCCAGATGTTGTTGAACTACAACTCCCATCACCCCTAGCTAGCAAGGCCAGAGCTCAGGGGTGATGGGAGTTGTAGTCCAACAACATCTGGGGACCCACAGGTTGAGGGAGTTCCACTGTTTAACCATGTGCTGTGCTTTATATTGCTGTCCTGAATAATAATAATAATAATAATAATAATAATAATAATAATAATAATAATAATAATAAATTTTATTTATATCCCGCCCTCCCCAGCCGAAGCCGGGCTCAGGGCGGCTAACAACAATAAAATAGTACAACATTCTAAAATCATTTCATTATAAAATTAATTCAACTCAAATTGATGGCAACCATTAGGCTAAAATTCTGTGAAGATTGCCAAAGGAGGGAGTCAGGCTGTGCCCTGACTAAAGGCCTGGTGGAACAGCTCTGTCTTGCAGGCCCTGCGGAAAGATGTCAAGTCCCCCAGGGCCCTAGTCTCTTGTGACAGAGCGATCCACCAGATTGGAGCCACAGCCGAAAAAGCCCTGGCTCTAGTTGAGGCCAGCCTAACCTCCCTGTGGCCTGGGACCTTCAAGATGTTTTTGTTTGAAGACCGTAAGTTCCTCTGTGGGGCATACCAGGAGAGGCGGTCCCGTAGGTACGAGAGTCCTAGGCATTCACTTCCAACATCTTCTCCTGACTGCCCCCTGCCCAAAGAAACCCCTACAATGTTCTGAAAGTAGATTAATTCCTCTGTCCGTCAGCCCCTTTCTCTTGTCGCTTGCATTCAACCAAGTTCTAAAAGCTGGCATGCAGGAAAGCTCACCCCAGTAACGTTCCGATCCCATCTGCTGTCCTGGCTCTTTAAATGTTTTCAGCTGCCAGCACCCAGGCTGCAGGGACCCTCCCTCCCATTCCCCAAGGCTGAGACTTCCTCCGTGGTGGGGAAGTGTGTGTAAGGACCCTAAAATGGAAACACCATTCCCATGTGCTAGCTTTGGACAAGCAGAGATGGAAAAGTGGGCGTGCTGCTGGGTCAAATGCACACAACAGGTCAGCGGAGAGGCATGCTTTGCTCAGGTGTCCATCACCCTCACGCATTGGCATGGGGCTCCCTTCTCATACCTCTGCTCAGTAAGCTTAATTCCATTAATAAATCACCTGGAGCAGCGTAGCTGTCATGGATAGTAAAGCTTCCTTGTCTGCTGCGGGAGCATTTGCATGATTTAGCTCTGTGTGCGGCGCTTAATGCCACAGTGATAATTCGTGTGTTCTGGAGCATGAAACAATTGGTCTGGTTGTTCTCTGCCGCTCCCCACCAACCCGATATTCCAGGCTGACGGGGCTCCCTCTGTGCGGAAGCACTTCGCATCTTCTTTGTGCGGCTGCCTGCATGAGCGGGTACTCTCTGGACTCCTCAAATCCTTCAAAATTCAATTTCACACAGCGGTTGGCTTGGAATGGCTCGTGGGCGCTGGCCTACAAGGCTGGGACAGAGAGATTAGTGTGGAGGGCATACAAATTGCATCAGTTAAACCGATTTATCCCCTATCTGCCGTTTTTAAAGCTGCCTCAAATAACCCATCAATCCTGAAAAACGGGAAAATGAGGGGGCCCGTTTGCAAAACCCTAGAATATATTGCAATGAGGGCTCAGTAGCAGTTATTCTGACATGTGAAAAGAGGCTTTTGGGTAGAAGTTGATAGCTGATGTGCAAGAATATGCTCTTCTGTAGCCTATGCAGTCTGACTTTTGGGTGTGATTCAGTATCGCTGACTGTGGGAGCTCAGAGATTTTATATTTACACACAGAATTATATTTCAGGCTTCTCATAGACATCTGGTTGGCCACTGGGAGAACAGGATCCTAGATTACATGGGTCTTTGGCTTGACCCAGCAGGGATCTACACACCCACCCACCCCTGCATCAAAGAACATACCACACAAACTTATTATGGATCCCCCTTTAGGATTTGGATAATCACTAAAATAATATGTATGTTACTGTGATTGATAAAGCAGAGGGCTTTTTTTTGCTCATGTGGCACAACACATAGGCTTCTGTCTTCATCAACTGCTCTGGTAGAAATGAAACGATGCTGTCTTATTTATATTCATCTTCCTTTCTTTTTTTCCTGGCTGCCACCTTGGAAACGGCATCACTTCTTTTTTATCAGAGTAGCTGATGAAAGCAGAAGCCTAAATGTTTTGCCACATAAATAAAAAAAACCCCTTTTGTTAATCACAGTAACGTATACATATGGGAAAGCGTATAAACCCACTTTAAAAAACCTAACAACCTCTAAGTGAGTAGGCTTGCTGAAATTTCATAATGTTTTTAGCAAATGCGGAATTTGGACTTGCTGGGTTTTGAAGACACCATAGGGACTGTTGTCACAGTGGATGTTTTTGGAATAATACTTGAGCTCCTTCCAACCTCCGTTGTGTTTACATGTTGAATGTGCTTATTAAGCGCTTCAGGAGTATGGAACACCTAGCAGGATCAGTGAGGCTCTTGGCATACTTTCAATTCATTTGCCAACGCAGCACCCATGGGAGCACATGTACTCACAGGGTCCTCTCTCCTAGCTGAAAGTCAGGCTTGAAAGAAGAATACTGTTGTAGACAATAGAGCAGGCATTTTGTGTTCATGTCTGTGGGGTGTGTGTTTGGTGCCCAGGACAGTTTCTCTGGTTTGCAAATGGGAACATCATTTGGCAAACTCTAGAAAGGGGTAGGCAACCTAAGGCCCGGGGGCTGGATGCGGCCTATTCGCCTTCTAAATCCAGCCTGCGGACGGTCCGGGAAGCAGCATGTTTTTACATGAGTAGAATGTGTGCTTTTATTTAAAATGCATCTCTGGGTTATTTGTGGGGCATAGGAATTCGTTCATCCCCCCCCCCCAAAATATATAGTCGGCCCACAACATGGTCTGAGGGACAGTGGACCGGCCCCACAGCTGAAAAAGGTTGCTGATTCCTGCTCTAGACCACCTAGTCCGAAGGACGGAAGAGTTATCCTAGGCTTCCTCAACCTCAGCCCTCCAGATGTTTTTGAGACTACAATTCCCATCATCCCTGACCACTGGTCCTGCTGGCTAGGGATCACGGGAGTTGTAGGCCAAAAGCATCTGGAGGGCCAAGGTTGAGGAAGCCTGAGTTATCCCCTTCTAGTGGAGAAGACTCATCGTTCCGTTGCCTCAATAAACACTGTGAAGGGATCCAAGCATTGGCAAGGCTTGAAGTTAAAACCCTCCCCAGAATAGAGCACCATAAGATGACCTTTTGAGTTGGGAGTGTAAAATCATAGAGTTGGAAGGGACCCTGAGGATCATCCATTCCAAACCCCTGTAATGCAGAAATATGCAGCTGTCCCGTACGGGGATTGAACCTGCAACCTTGGCATTATCAGCACCATGCTCTAACCAACTGAGCTAAAGGTGAAGGGACCCCAGACCATTAGGTCCAGTCGTGGCCAACTCTGGGGTTGCGGCGCTCATCTCGCTTTACTGGCCGAGGGAGCCGGCATACAGCTTCCGGGTCATGTGGCCAGCATGACTAAGCCGCTTCTGGCGAACCAGAGCAGCGCACGGAAACGCCGTTTACCTTCCCGCCGGAGTGGTACCTATTTATCTACTTGCACTTTGAAGTGCTTTCGAACTGCTAGGTTGGCAGGAGCAGGGACCGAGCAACGGGAGCTCACCCCGTCGCGGGGATTCGAACCGCCAACCTTCTGATCAGCAATTCCTAGGTTCTGTGGTTTAACCCACAGCGCCACCCGTGTCCCTCCAACTGAGCTATCCATTCACTAAAACCAATTGATTAAAGAGCTGGCACTGAAGGAGAGCGGAATGGACGAATTAGCATTGATGTGGCTTCCTTTTGCACATGCAAGTCATGACTGCCCCAGGGACGGAAGGATAAGGCTGGATCATGCTTGAAGCCTCTCGTCCAATATCCCCACCTGCCTAGTTCTGCAGTATCTCATTGTTGGTTTGGGAAAACCTACATCTTTGTTTCCAGTGAAACGTGGAAGGCTCTCTTGCCCTGCCTCTCTTAGAAGCATGGCTTCCGCTTCCTGTATTGCCACCCAGCTGCTAAGTAGAAGTTCGTTTTGGAAAAGCCGCTTTGCCTGCAAAGAGGTCACCGAGGCTCCTCTCTTGCTTGGCTGCCTCTGTCCAGTCAAGGGTGTAATAGGATTCCTGGCGCAAGCTAACAAGATGGATTGTAGGTGGTCGCTGGGTTTGAGAACTGTCTGGAAGTGGCAGGCCGTCAGGATCATCTGACACACATGCAAACCTGTCCCTTCTGCACATAGGCTTTGGGCTTGTTGTGTCTGAGCAGGTACCCATCTATTGAAAGTACCGTATTTTTTGCTCTATAGGACTCACTTTTTCCCTCCTGAAAAGTAAGGGGAAATGTGTGTGCATCTTATGGAGGCGAATGCAGGTGAGCAGCTATCCAGACCAGAAACAGCAAGAGGGATGCCTGCTTTCACGCGCAGTGATCCCTCTCGCTGTTCTGGCTTCTGAGATTCAAGAATATTTTTTCTTGCTTTCCCCTCCAAAAACTAGGTGTCTTATAGAGCGAAATGCGGTAACATTTTCGCTTCCAGTAAGATGCCCACAATCGAGCGGGTACACTTTGGAAGGCATTTTTTTAATAAAAAATTATACACCCGTGCAAGGCCCAGATATTATGTCTTCAACTGCACAGAGATGCATTTTTTCTTTCCTCATGTCATAAGACCCCTGGTTAGGGTTCAAAATGTGGCAATAAAACTATGATTTAGGTTGGCTGCCTCTCAATCCTGTCCTGAAGTTGGGTGTCTGGGGGTGGGTATTGATGAGTTTGCTTTATCATCATACAAGTGAGGCAGGGAAACAGGTTTGACTGTGGTTTGCCCTGTGCCAATGTGGTAATTGTAGTCCAGCAACTTTCGAGTGCCGTACGTTAGCCATCCCTGGTGTAAAGTTTAGTGACAGTAACATCTTAAAGTTATACCTGGAACGAAGTTAGTTCGGTTGAGGATCCTACAGCAGTGAGCCTAGAATTCGACATCTGCCGAACTTTACAGAGCACACTTCTTGTTCCCTTGATAGAAGTAGAATCATAAAGTTGGAAGGGACCATGAGGGTCATCTAGTCGAACCCTGTGCAATGCAGGAATCTCTTGCCCAATGTGGGGATCGAACCCCTGACCCCAAGATTAAGAGCCTCATGCTCTGTCAACTGAGCTACTTGCCTGGCTGTGGCTCATCATTAAAAAGTGCTGGGCTTCCTGCCTAGCACAGAACTGAAGCTCAAGCTTGAGAATCCTTTGCTGAGTGGCCAAAATTTCACTATAGCGAGTCCTTAGACACACATTTTTTTCCCAAGGGTTGGGTTTTTCGGTGGGGTGGGGGGAGAGGGATATTCATCTTCCTAAGTCCTCCTTCCCCTTGGACCATGTTCTCAGTAGGTAGCCTGTAAGGCAGATGAGGCTCAGCTAGCCTCAGCTCCTTTGCACCCATTGCCATGGCCCCCTGCACTCCTCTCTCTCCGATTGTCACGTCTGTTGCACAGCAGGCAAGGCTGGCACTGCAGGTGGCATGAGCAAGGGGCTTGGGGGTGTCCTGGACTGCTGTGTCAAGATGGAAGCTGTCCTGAACTGTGCCACGGCTCAAGACCCTGGAGAAAGATGCCAACTGTCTGCTGATTGTCCCATAGAGCCTTTTAAGATGCACCGCGAAGATGTCCTGTCCGACCTTCTGCTGCTTCCTCAGGAAATGACGAATGTGCCGCCTTTCGGGGAGTATTTTGGACCTTCGCAAGAAGTCCATGGTACAATTCTCTCCGCCGCGCTTGCCGGTTGCGTAACTCTCTCCCCGCTTCAAGTGCCACTAAGGAATTCTTCTGCATGGCTGACATCTTTCTTCTTCCTCCTCCTCCTCCAGTGTGCTTTGAAACTCGTGTTAATTATGGAGAGCACTGAGGGACATAATCTGCTTTCTCAGTAGACTTCTAATCTGCCAGTGGGTCTTGAAAAATCTGCATGCTTGCAATCATGCCGTCGGTCGTGAGGCTAGGCTCCTTCATGCCTCCCTTAGATCTTTTTTTGAAATTAAAGACTGCCGTTTTGGTGTTTGGAGGAAAGCTTGGAAGTGTGAAGAAGACCACGTTGATTTGAAACCTTTAATTCCTGGGCAAAGTGTCCCATTATCCAGGGTGGCGGTGAGGGAATTGAATACCACCACTTCACCGACCTTTGCTCCTGTTGACCCGCCAGTCTCCCAGCCCTCCTTTCTTCCTGTGGCTGGTGGAAACAAAAAAATCCCAATCCTCTGCAGCCAGAATTGAATGGCATTAGAGGTGCAACATTTGGGGCTCCTCCTGCTTCTCTGGGAAATTGTTTAACCTGTCCTCCTTCCTCGCTTTCTGCTTCCCTCCCCTCTGCTTGCTCTGACCCCCAGTAGAATATATCCAAGGCCAAAGGCCAGTCTTCATTGATATTACTGTACAGCCCTGCTGAACATTGGCCTAAGACTGGTGGGCAGGCCGCCTCTGAAGTCTGCATCACAAGGCTAAGACGAAGCCTAGGCACTCTGCAAGGCACTATTGGGTGTGATGGGGCCTTGTTGCTACCTCCCCACTTTATTAATCCTCTTTCACCCCCTCTGCTTCTTCCAGTGGCTGCCATTGCTGCACCCCCCTGTCTCATGATGCTCTGCTTGTTCAGTTTTGCAAGGCTTAGGACTGGGGCGTCAGGTGGTCCCTTGCTGGTTAGCTGCAGGCGACCGCAGCAGGACCAGAGGCTTTGTAAAGTGGAGCTGGCAAGCAGTTACCAGACAGCTGCTGTGATTGTGCTGCCACCAAGTCTCTCCATCCCTGGTTTTAGAGAACCCCCCGGATGCTGGCTGGGGGTGACGGGGTCCAAATCATTTCGGGACCCAAGGTTGGGGAAATCTGTTTAAAAGGCACTTTGTAGTTTTCCTTCCTCCTGCTGTCACAAAACATCAGGAAAGTAATAAGCTCAAGCTTAGGACTTGGGAGTGCTGGTAGCAGCAAGAGGAAATGAACATTTTCTTCCTCATCTGGAAGTGTGTTTTTCTCGGTGCAAAATGCTACCTGGAAAGGAAATCCTGACTCAATTAGCTGGGGGGCTTCATTTCCTGCAAGGTTTGTATTGGTTTGTTAGTTGATGGAAACGCATTGCATCCCTCAGCTTGGTTCACTCTAAGCGTGAACTCCCACATAGTGGATGGCAGGGGAAATGTGGTAGCTGGTGGTGCAAAAAACCTGCCTTGTTTTTTACAGCACCTTACGGAATTGCAGGGGCGCCTGAGCAGCCCCCTCTGGGACCCCAACATCCTCCTGCAAACATTTTTGACCCCATGGCCTTCCTCGATTCCGGGGCAGAGTCTCTGCTGAACCAGAACGAAACAGGTGAGCCCATGCTGATCTGTTGCCTCTGCCAAGAACACCAGAAGTCCTGGGGGTGAATGGGGGGCGGGGAGGAGGCAAGCTGCAGCTAGTAAACTAGGGTGTGAGGCGAGTATGCATGGGTCTGCAAGCTGCATTTTAGGAAGAAGAGAAAAGCAGGAGCAAATCTGCACTCGAGGGCTAATACGTGGCCGCCAAAGATGTTGTGGAGATGAGATCCCTGCTTTTCCTCTGTCCGAGAGAAAAGAGGACACGCAGAATCAAAGCAAGACTGCACCCAGGTCTGCAGTAGGATTTGAGGCTGCCAGTTGTGTAGCTGACCTGTGTGGGTGTCCCAGGTGAGCCCCGGTGCGAATTGGAGCAGTCCTGAGTCAGCCACAGCTGCTCAGCAAACACCACCTAGGAGACCTGCTGGTGGTCCTCTAACTCCACCTCTTTTCCGGCGAAACAAAAAACCTGGGGCGGTTTGACTTGGGGGTCTGCAAAGGTAACCTGTCGTGAAGCCGCCTTTTGGGTGGGCTTTCACGAGAGACTGTGTATCTGCTCGTTGTTTCCCGTAGCACCTGCAGGAGAGACGGGGCTTCCTGAAGATTTCTGGTTGAGACCTCAGCACTTAGCAGAGGGACAAGGAACACCTTTCTTTGAGCCGCCAGGTAAAAAAAAGCAGAAGAATCTCCAGAGAGGAGGTGCGTGTTCTTTTGAGGCTCTTCAGTCAGGCATTGGCACGGACCCATCTGCTGTTTCCAAACAACACCTTGATTCTCAGGGAGGAAGGCGGAGTTTTGGTGGCGCAAAGTGGGGAAAGAGCAGCAAAACATCACGAGACGGTTCCCAGAATCCTTTGCTTCCCAGCTTTTGGGGTTCTGCCATTCCCACTCCCTTCCAGGTCCTGCTTCCCCACCCCTGTCTTCATGCATCCTGGCTGAAGCTGGAGGCAGAGAGAGATGCATGACCTACCCAGTCTGGTGCCCCCCAACTCCCTTCCCCTTCTTGTTCCACAGGTGGAAGCAGGTCAGGTCCTCTTGAAAGGGTGATGAGCAGGAAGGAGAGATTGAACGGAGAGAATCTGGTGAAGAAAGCTTTTACCTGGGGAGGGGGCGGGTCTGTGGTTTCTACGCTTGCCCCATGCACCTTAGCACTTTGAATGACCTTCATCCCCCCCCACTCCAGTTCAAGGCTTTCTCTCTCTCAATTACATGCTATATGGATGCTACCTATTTGCTATCGTGTCAGGCAGAGCACCTGCCCCAAAGCCATTCAGACTGGCTGGTGGCTCCAGCTCAGTTTCTGTGTGAATAGCTTATTCCCCACCCCCACCCCACCCTCTCTTTGTGCCCAGCACCCGGTAAGATCCTGACGAACTTCCCAGGATGCTCCGACACAAGTCTGGTAGACGTCACAGAGCCCAATCCACCAGAGTCAAAGCAGTCTGCGCCAGCAGGTGAGAAGGAAGAGCTCCGTGGAAAGCTGGCTCGCGTTTGAGATCTGGATACTACCCTTGCTGGATGATTGCTTGCAGCGATAGGCTCCAGTGCATCATTCCCAGAGCTGTTTCATGGCAGTGTGGGATGGACAGGATGAGTGAGGTGGGGACAGGACTGCCCCACCCCAATGTGGCCTTTCTGGTGTCCTGTTCACCCCAAGCAACTTGCAAACCGAGCAGAGGAAAAACATGGGTTGTGGTCCTTGCCCCCTGGGGCTATGGGGTTTCTTGGGCAAGGGGTGTCAGGCTTTCTTCCCCAACTCATGTCATTTAGGATGATTTATAGTTGAGCTTCCCAGTCTGGGGACGAGGCAGATTATAAATAAATATAATTATTATCATGTAATTTATTTGTACTCCTGACTTCTGTGTAGTGGGGCAACCGGTTAACGATTTGGCTCTGAACTTGCTCCGAACTCACCCTGCCATCCCAAAGGCAGCAAAAATGACCCCCCTTTCTTTCTCGGCCATTTGCTTTGTTCTGTTTCCAAATGGTGGCGTCGGCAGCAGGAGGAACACACACCTTTAAATCTTCTGCTTAAGTTGTTTCTTTCCTTTTCTTTTCCAGCTTCTCCTGCGGTCGAAGGTCATGGGCCTGCCCCTGCAGTGGAAGAGCTGATGGGGTTTGAACCGTCATTTGACCAGAAATCTCTTCCTCTCAAAGAATCCCTGGCAGGTGAGCTTGCCCTCGAGACTTTGTAGTGTGCGTTTGTTTCTTGGCTTGCTTGCAATGCTTGAAAAGGAGGTGGGTTCTGGATTTGCACAGGAAATGGTCTTCAGTCAAGTGCCAATTGGTCCCACAAGCAGGAACCCACAAGAAATGGGTCTGGGGGATAGACTTCTCCCGCTGCCCCCTTTGCCCCCAAACCTTCACTCCCTCCTTCTCTGTCTCACACCGTCATCTCCATCAATGACCCTCCTGACGCCCGCATCCTGCCCTGCTTTGCTCTTCCATGACCTCGTTCTCTGCTGAAGCTCCTACAGTTGGAACAGTGGCACCAGATTTCCTGCAAACGCAGCAGATCCCAGCCAGCAGTATTCCAACATGCTAGAGTTCCAGATAAAGCTGCCATTTAGAGTCCTCTCTAGAGCAGGCTTCCCCCAGCATATTTTGATTACCGCCCCGCCGTTACCCCGAGGTCCCAGGGAGGGTCACAGCAATTGAAAATACGTTGCAAACAGTTCAAACCAAATCACAACCACAAGAATAGGTTGGGTCCTAAAATGTAAATCTAAGTAAACATAAGAAGAGCCCTGCTGGATCATGTTGGGCGCAGATCAGCAATAACTCAAAAGGTGTCAGTGAAGTTAACTCTTTATCCCAAAAAAATAAAAGCTCAGGCCTAGTCAGCACAGCAAGTCTTCCTCTTGCCCCATTGAGGCAGTTGCGAGGACTGAAGGTTCCTGCCTTCCCATTACTCCCTAAGTCTTCTCTTCCCCCCCCCCCCGAGTCCTTCCTAAGCGATCTGAGACTCCTTCATCTTGTCTGTCTTTGCTTCCCTCTCTTCATGCCTCTTATGGTTCTGGGAGACCAAGGGAGAGGGGAGCTGGTTCACAGCAGGAGAAGGGAGACCCCCTGGCTTCCTCACCAGCCTACCTCATCTCTGCCTTTTAGCTTCCCTGCTCTCCAGCTTCCGCTTCTGCCTCTAGAGTCTGGATTTCTCTCTGCCACAGCCTCTCCCTGCTCACTAAACCCTGTTACCTCTTCGGCTTCCAACACCTCCTCCTCCCTCTGACCACTCCTTGTCATGCCACTACCAATCCCCAGGCTCTGAGCCTTCTTACCTTGGGGTTTCCCCAACTGGTACCACTTGCCATTCCTCCACGTCCAGCCAGTCCATGGCAGCCAATGGCCCATTTAGACCAGCATCCTGTTCTCACAGCGGCCAACCAGGTGCCCCAATGGGAATCTGAGCAGAAGCAGAATCTGAGCACAAGAGCTCTGTCTCCTGTGGTTTCCAGCAACTGGTATTCAGGAGCATTGCAGCCTCCAGCTGTGGACGCAGAACACAGCCATTGTTGTCATGATCTCATGTGTCAAATGCCAGGGTAAAGAAGTGTGTCTTCAGCATAGGACGAAGATCGTGCCTCTGTGGGTAAGACATTCCCCACCCTAAGGTCTGCCCTGCTCCGCACACTTCTGAGGGTGCTGGAACCACAAAGAGGAGTCCCTTTGCCGATCTTGACACCTGAGAGGTTCTTTAGGGATGGGAGGGGGCTGTTTCAGGTACAGTGGTGCCCCGCAAGACGAATGCCTCGCAAGACGGAAAACTCGCTAGACGAAAGAGTTTTCCGTTTTGGAGGTGCTTCGCAAAACGAATCTCCTTTGGGCTTGCTTCGCAAGACGACAATGTCTTGCGAGTTCCTGCTGGTTTTTCCCCCTCCCCCCTTTTTCTAAGCCGCTAAGCCGCTTATCAGCTGATCCGATCAGCAGATAAGCCGCTAAAAGCCGCTAATAGCGCTAAGCCGCTTATCAGCTGATCTGATCAGCAGATAAGCCGCTAAAAGCCTCTAAAAGCCGCTAATAGCGCTAATCCGCTAATCCTTCAATGGGCTTGCTTCGCAAGACCAAAAAAACCGCTAGACGAAGAGAACCACAGAACGGATTCTTTTCGTCTTGCGAGGCACCACTGTATTTGGGGCCTAAGTAATTTAGGCTCTTAGCCGTAAAAACATAAGAAGAGCCTGCTGGATCATGTCAGTGGCCCAACAGATACCTGTGGGAAACCAAGCAGGATTCGAGCACAAGAGCAACTCTTCATTTTGGACCAATTAAAGTTTCTGAGTTGTCTTCAAGGGCAGCCCCAGGTGTTGCATTGCGCAGTAATCCAGCGTGGAAGTCCCCAGCTCATGGAGCGCAATGGCCAAATCAGAATTGTAGGGTCGGAAGGGACCCCAAAGGCCATCTCATTTTTCTCTTGTGAACCACCCTGGGATTTTTTGATGGAGGGCAGCATATAAATATAGTGAATAAAATAAAAATCTAGTCCAGCCCCTTGCAATGCAGTCCTTCCTGTCCGAAAGCCGATGAATCAGGCAGAGCTAGAAAAAGGTACTCCTAGCCACTGAGGCCACCTGAGCCATACATGACAAATACAGGAGCGCCCCCAAGCTACAGACCTGCTGCTTCCAAGGTAGTGCAGCACCGTCCAGGACAGGTTGTCTCCCCACATCCTGGGAGGAAGCTCACGGGCAGGAATGGGATGGTCACTGTCCATCTGTCCTCAGCACCTGCCATCTGGCCACTTCTTTTGGAGGGGTGTTGGTTGAGGACAGGCGAGTGAACCAGTATCACTGATCCTAGAGGGGAATCGTTGGCAGTTGGGTGGCACAGATGAAAAAAGGCACCTCTTCCTTCTTTTGCTATGGATAGGCTCTCCAGAAGCGACGAAGGAGCAGAAAGCGAAGGCCGCAGACGCTACAGCTCCAGGTACTGGCGGTTTTCCTGTGCTGGGGAAACAGGAGGAGAGCTGGCCTTCCCCCACCCAGCACAAGGAGAAGGAAGAGACCAGCCAGTCCCAGAACGCAGAGGAGCTCGCAAGGAAGACTCCTCCCAGCCAGAAAGTGGACGACAGCCAGCCTTTCTTCAGCCAGTGGGGAGAGGAGAAGGAGGCAAGCGCAGCAACCAAGCCTCCCACCCAGAAAATGGAGGAAACCAAGCCCCCTCTCATTTTGCCCATGGAGGAAAAGGAGAGGCAGCCCCCAAGCCCGAAAGTCGAAGAGCCAAAGGCTCCTCTTGCCCAACACACAGAGAAGGTCAGCGAGGGCCCGCATGTGCAGGAGGGGGCAAGTAAAGCTGCTCCAGCCCCCAAAGCAGAAGAGCCCAAAGCTTCTCCCAGCCAGCACTTAGAGAAGAAAGCGGAAGAGAGCAAGATCTCTCCCAACCAGCCCGCTGTGAGCCAAGAAGGGCCTAAGACGCCTTCTTCACCCCTCCAGCCCTGGGAGACCTTCCCTGCTCTGGAGAAGCTTGGGGAGAAGGACAAACAGCCTCCCAGCAAGCCTACTGAGAAGCCGGAGGAGAACAAGCAGCCGCTGTCGGTTCCACCTGTGGTGCCTCATCCGGAGCCTGCAGGTAAGGAAAGATGTGGGGGGAAAGATGTCACTTCCTATGGGGAAAGCTGCTTTCCTTCCTTCGGCCAGCGCCAATGGAAGCCACACCCTCCTCGTATCAGGAGATTGAGCCTGCTTCTCTCATGGCGGGGAGACCCACCAGCCGTGCCCCCACAAGTGCAATAGAGGTGGGGGCTGAGCTGGGGATTGGGGTGTTTGGAAGAAACAGGGTGGATGGATGGACAGCCGCACATTGAGGATATTGGCAGGCAGAGCTCTTGAAATGGGCAATACTGTCCTGGTTGCTGCATTGGGCCAGGCCAATGGTCTACATCGCTCAGCCCAGGATCATGGTGAGGCTGACGTACGGTATTTTTCGCTCTATAAGACACACTTTTCCCCTCCTAAAAAGTAAGGGGAAATATGTGTGCGTTTTATGGAGCGAATGCAGGTGGGAGGCTCTGCTCAGCGCACCCTTTAAAGAGCCGCGTGGAGCGTGTTTGCGGCTCTTGGGGGCTTTTCCCCGAGGAGGGAGAAGGGCTGCCCTTCTCCCTCCTCGGGGAAAAGCCCCCAAGAGCCGCACACACGCTCCATGCGCTCTTTAGAGAGAGTGCGGCTCTTGGGGGAGCCTTAGCCGCGTGCAGCCTCTCCTGGGCAGGGGTGAAGGCTCCCCTTGCCTGGGAGAGGCTGCGTGCAGCCAAGCAAGAAGCCAGGACAGCCAGCGGGATCGCAGCGCAGCAATCCCGCTAGCTGTCTTGGCTTCTGGGATTCAGAATATTTTTTTCTTGTTTTCCTCTTCCAAAAACTAGGTGCGTCTTATGGTCTGGTGCGTTTTATAGAGCGAAAAATGCGGCATTTATCTGTCCTCTGCAGGCTTGGACAGCTGGTTTTGACCTGTACCTAGAGACTGTGTTTTCGGTCATGGGAGCAAGCTGGTGGGGCGGGGGTGGTGATTCTCATAGATCATTGAATGGTAGGTTTGGCACCCCCAGGCGTCAACTGCTCCAGCCCCCTGCAAAGCAGGTGTCACAGCTAAAGCATCCCTGCAGGCCACCTAACCTCTGTCTGAAAGCCTCCAGTGAAGGAGAGCCCACCACCTTCCAAGGAAGTCTCTTCCACTGTTCAAACAGCTTTTACAGTCGGAAAGTTCTTCCTAAAGTTTAGCCGGAGTCTCTCTCCTTTTGTGTCATTTGAATCCAGTTGGCTTCGGTCCTCCCCTCTGGAGCAGCAGAAATCAAGGTAGCTCCACCTTCCACGTGGCGGCCCTTTAGATAGTTGGAGATGGCCTATCTTGTCTTGACTACTCGTTTGTTTCTTATTTATTTTATATTCTTTATTGAGAAATAAAAGGTACAAAATTACAAGTGCACAGAGTAAGATAAGACACACAAAAGAAGAAGAAACAAGAAAGTGTACCCATGTAGTAAGCAAAACAACAACAAAAAGATATTCTGTGTCAGGACCATTCTGTACCATTACATAAGGGGAGGGAATAGTTGTTTTCCTTAACCAAGCAAACTGATACAATATTTATAAAATAATGAATTCCAGATATCGTTCAATTTGTCCATGGCAAGTCTATGTTTGTACACAACTATCCTAGCACCTGCCAGTCTTGTCTTCTTCCTTTTTCTTTTTTTTTTACAAAAAGCACTGATGCCTTTTATGCTTTTATTTCTAGCAGAGTCGAAAGAACCGGTACCCCCGAGAGAGTCCAAAGGAGACGCTAAGGAGCCCTTGGCTGCTGTGGTGGAAGTGGCCAAGCCAAAGGAAGCACCCGAAGCTCGCCCTGACCATCCCGCGGAGCTGCCTCAGGGAAAGGCCGCCCTGGAACCTGCAGGTAGGCAATGGCAGCGGCAACAGAGGAGCAGCTGAGCTGCATCTCCCGTTCTTGTTTCCGTCTCCACCATACTCTTATCTTTCTCTTTGTGATGCAAGTTGCCTATCCCTTTGCAGCCAAAGAGGCAAACCTCTTCCTTCTCCTGTGTGGTTAGGAAACGGCCTCAGCTTTATTTCTTGTTTCTTATTTCTACTTGCTCCCCAGTTCCAAAACTGGGCATCTCTGCCCCCCCCCTTCCTGGGAGCTAGGTTAAATACAGGCAACTCACCCCCATTGCTGAGTTTTCTATGCAACATTGTCCCTTTCTGGTTACCATATAGGTCTCAGTTCTGGTCTGACATTTAGGAGAACCATTTTGGTCACAGACCTCATAACAATGCTGGTCTGTTGCTTTTTGGGGTGTGGGTTTTTTTTTGGCCTGTCCTAAATCTTTTCCCTTAAAGTGTGCACTCCCACTGCCCAACTGGGGGTGATCAGTGCAAAGCTGGCTTTGCAGTCTCTGCTGTGAGCAAGAAAAACACCCTGTGTTCTCCAACCACAGCAAATGATCCCCTTTCTCATCACTGAGCTTTTCCTGCCTTCTCCATCTAGCCATGTGCCCCCATGCTCTGTCATGCCCCCAGCTTGTCAACAGAGCTTGCTTCCTGCTGGGAGAGTTCCCTGTTTCTGGAGCTCTTGCCTGCGTGCACCTGGCCTCCCTCCACACCCCAGAAAAAGAGGGAAGGCAGGCCCTAAAATCCATCCCAGAAAGGCCTTATGGGATCTCTAAGCACAAAAGCAATTCTCACATTGCCCTGTAACGTAGAAGCGATAACTCTTCCACAGACTTTGTCCATGTTACGAGATACGTTTGGTGGAGAGAAATGCAAAAAGTATGAGAGATTGGTACACCACAACCCCTTGCCTTGCTTCCAAAACTGCACTTAACTAAAGTGGGAGTCAGTACTGTTGACTGTAGGCACTGGGAGCCTGGCTGAAAGCCGCTTTTGGTGAGTAATCCCTCTAGTACTGGAGCAACCTTCCTGTATTCCAGGTGCGCTTCCTGCCCAAGGAAGACACGCTAACAAACCCAGCGACCACCACCGCAGGGTTGGCAGAGCGAAACCTGCCTGGCTGCCTGCGGCGGATGCCCCGGAGGAGCTTCTTGTAGGTCCCCCGGCTGCCCCAGGAGCCACAACCAAGGAGGCGACCCCTTTTTGGCAACAGAGTGCAGTGGCTTTGTCGCTGGGACGTCCCCCCGGAGCAGAGCTCCTTACAGGAAGGCAGCCGGCCAGGCGTTTGAGTTTGCAGAGGGCGCGAGGGAGAGCTGGGACCTGGAAGCTTCCGCGGCACTGAAGAAGAAAAAGAAAAAGCAGAAGCAAAAGAGGGTCCAGCAGCCAAGGGGGGCAGAGATGTGGGAGGACAGCTCCGAAAGGCCGCAAGCTCCCCTGTGTGCTCCTGAACCCCAAAAGCCCGAGGTCCCCTTTACTGAGCCCCGGAAGAGCGCTAAAGAGGTCTCAAGAGCCCCTGTGGACGTCACCGGGAAGGCTCCTTCGGCGCTTGAGAGAGAGGGCCAAATTATGGACAGCCTTGCCCTGGTTTCTGTAAAAGGAGAGCTGGCCCTTCCGGCTGATAATGTTGCATTGGATGCAAAATTTGGCCAAGTGGAAGAGATGAGGGATGGCAGCTTGAAATCGCCATCTAAAAGCAGGGAGCCTCTTGAGGAGCAGCTGAAGTGCTGTGTCCAGAAGAATCAGCCAGGAAGCCCCACCTGGCCACAGGCCACTCCTGTGGAAATGGCACCCCTTGGGAGAAGCAGGACATTGGAGGGAGGCTCAGCTCACAAGGACTCGGTCCCCATTGTGCCCGCTTTGGAGGCCAAACCTGCGGTGAGCAAGGAAGTTGAAGTTCTGCTTACGAAACCAGCAGCTGCAGGTGAGAAGGTCGCCCCAGAGGGCCTGGTTCCTTTGCAGGAGGTGCTGGTGGAGGAGCCGAAGAAGGAAGAGAAGGGCAGGCAGGGCAGAAGTCCTGGCGAGGGAACTGCCAAATCTCCCGCTGAAGCAAAGGCTGTGGAGCCAGCCACAGAAATCAGTTCTCCCGATAAGAGCAAGGAGAAATTCCCTGTTGCGCCAGAGTCGAGCCCCCCCAGGGAGTGTTCACCAGGCAACGCACTGGGGAGCAGCCCCGCAAAAAGTGCCACTCTTGATTTTGGTTCGGCTGAAACCCCCTTTTTCTTGGAAAGCAAGTCTGATCTGGGCAAGCCCTTCGCTCCCACCAAGACACCTGGCAGTTCTCAAGTACCTTCTACTGAGATGGCCAAGGGAGCCAGCTCTGGCACACCAGAACAGCCGACTGGGGCACAGGCTAAGAAGAGGGGCAGCGATGGCAGAAGCAAGCGGGTTAAGAATCCTCCGGCGCCGCTGCTCTCCCTCTTGGAGGACCGGGCCGATGTGGGCAAAGCTCCGGGGGCGGAGGAAGCTGCGACCCCTCCTGAAAGCAGCATGGCAGCCAGAAGCCCCGAGGCAGCTGGCATCTCCAGCTCAGCGGACAGCAAAGCCGCTCTTGCCTCTGCGGTGTTGCAAGAGAAACCAAAGAGGAGCAGTGAGGGGAAGAGCAGGAAAGCCATGAAGAGAAGCTCGCTGGGGGCGTCGTTTCCTCCAGCGGCGGAGAGCGGCACTAGCCCCTCGCCTGTGGAAGCGAGCAGAGCTGACCCAAGTAAAGAAAAGAACGATTCCAGCAAAGGAGCCGACCTCTTAGCTGCAAGCCAACTGACGGAAGCTCCTGCTGCAGATACGGCAGAGCTCCAAGCTCCTGCTGCGACTTCCTTGAAGGAGAAGATGCAAGGGCCTCCAACCGGCAGAAGCGAATGTGTCGACTTCCCTTCCTCTGCATACCCTTTCATCTTGGAGACACCAGCCAAGGCAGGTCCTCCTGAAGCCAAGGGAGCCACCGTGCCTGGTGAGAGCAAAGGGCCCAGCTTCACCATTTTGGAGAGCCCCGCTTCAGCCCTGCCGGGGAGCAAGCCCAAAAAGAGGACCAGCGACGGGAGGAGCAAAAAGTCCGGGAAGACTCCGCCAGAGCAGCCGTTTCTGCCGGAGGCGGCCTCTGACCTGAGCAAAGCTTCTGAGAAGGCTGACAGTACCACCAAAAAATCAGGCGCTGATGGCAGGGGTGGCACCCCTCTGCTTGAACAGCCGGAGAGCAGTGAAGTGCATGTTCCTGCCGCAAAACCGGTGGGGAAATCTGAAAGAAAGAAGGAGGAGGAGGGGAGTTTGGACACAGCCCCGAAGAAGTGTGGCTTTGAGCAGCCGGTTGCTTCTGATCCAAAAACCAGCACTGCAAAGCAGGAACGCTTCACTAAAGACACAGAAAAAGGTCAGGAAGCCAGTCTAGATCCTAGAGACAGGACAGAATTGCCAAAATCCCCCCATCCCTTTACGGAGCCGGCGGCAGAAGAACCGAGGAAAAGGGATGTAGGAGGGCAGAGCCACCAGGTTTGTGTCCAAGCCTTGGAAGCAAAGTCTGAACCTGCCAGGCTAGCCGCTGAACATGGGGAGGTGGCTCAAATGGAGGAGGCTCCATCCCCGAGTAAAGTCCAAGAGAAAGACCGTCCCTTGAAGGAGGCAAGAGATGCAGGGCAAGGTCCTGATGTGAGCAGAACATCCAGAGGATCAGAGGAGGCCAAGAATAGAAAAGACAAGCTGAGTTTGGAATGTCCCTTTCTTTGGGGGGAAGCCAAAGGGGAGACAGGCACCAAAAGAGAAGATGAACAGAAAGAGCCCCCTTCTCCTCAAAGCAGCAAGGAGGGAAGCGGTGGCGGGGCTGCTCTTGCCAGTAAGCCAGACCAGGCTGCAAAAGCTGCAAAGAGGGGCAACGACAGGAAAAGCAAGAAGGCAGCGAGTGGCCCTGACCAACCTGCCTCACAAGCAAAGGTGGATCCCACAAACCAAGGGCAGCATCCCAAATTGGCTGGCTTCCTCCAAGGCGTGGAGGAAATGGAGTTTGTAGACGAGAACAGGAACATCAAAAGCCTTCCCCCGGGGCATCAGGTACACTGGGAAGAGAACAAGATGAGCTTGTTTGGCCCCTTTGCTCCCCCCAGTGCTGGTGGTCTTGACGAAGCCCCTTCCAAAAGCCCAGGGCTGGGGTGCCCCTTTCTAGAAGACCCAGGCAAGTTCATGAGCGAGCTGAGCAAGGAGCAGCTTTTTCTTTCCGAAATGCTGAAGGATGCCAGTAAAAGCGTCGGGGAGGATCAGCCTGAGCCGAAGGAGAACGTGGCCAAGTTGGGAGGCCACGAGGCCGCGATAGAGGCTTCCCTTTTGCTGAAAGCGGGCGACGAAACCAGGGAGAAAAGGAAGAAAAGCAAGAGACCCCATGCCAAGCAGGAGCTAACAGCAGGAAAGGACAAGGTGTTCAGCTCCGTCCTGGATGAAGATGGAAGGGAAAGCTTGGTGGAGAAGACACAAGGCTCTGGACCTGGCCCCTCAGAACTGCCAGCAGAAGAGGTGCCCAAGGAGACTGCCCTGCTGGTTGCTGGGACAGAAGGAACTGGATCTGTCGGAAAAGAAACCAGCACCCCTTCTGGGGAATTGCCACCCCTTTGGGAGAACAAGAGAGAAGCAGCAGCCCTCCAGGCACTGACAACCGCGCTTGTTGGTGGCAGCTCAGAGCCAGTTGAAAAAAGCAAAGGAGCTGAACCAAAGACCTCTGAACGTCCGGATAGTTTAGGAAGTAAGGCAGGGGCAGATAAGGTCCCAGAGGATGTCCACGGGGAGGAAGCTGCTTCTGCTCCTAAACCAAAAGACCCATTCAGACCTCTGAAGCTGGATGACGTGAAGGAGCCAGAGATCAGCGTCCCAGCGCAGGCGGCCAGCAAAGAGGAAGAGGCACATCTGCCAAGCCAGGCAGCCCAACCAAAGGGCGCGCAGCGTTCTGGCTCTGAAGCTGGCGAGCTGATCCCGCAGGCGGTGGCTGGCGGTGGCGACCAAGGAGCGAGAGCGACGAAGAAAGAGGAGAGGAGA